AAAGAATATAAGTTGAATAATATATGTACCCCATAGAGAATAAGCACTATAATCTCCAGTTCCTGGCAAAGTTGGAGCAACTATACGATGCTGAACCTCTAAAGCATTTTCTGTATCATTAATCCATCTGCCTCTAACATATGATGTTCCAGATGCATCTGCTAGTGCACAAGTTACAACATCTGAACTAGCATCTTCTTCACTACTACATAAACTAGAAGCAATGAATACTTTATCACCAGTATTTATGAACTAAAAATTACTTCTTTGATACAAACAAGTAGAAAAATGTTTAATAAACACTTTGATTGAGTGTTTTACAGATACAAATAATTTTAAGACAAATTTATGAATTATTACCTTCTGTTAGGTTGAACTTTAGATAATGGAAAAATATACTGAATTAATTGTTTTGCAGCAGTTCTGATAACTTTTTTCAGTTGTTGCCTTTTTCTATCTACTGCTTCTTTTTGTTTTTCTTGTCTTGCTCTCAAACCAGTAACATATTGATGTAATTTTTCTACTCTTTCTTCATGTCTAGGTAGTCTAAGTGCTAACTGAGAGTTTACATCTTTGAGAACATTTAAACGTTGATTACCTGCATATTAAGAAAATTTGTTTAATATAACAGTTTTCTAAATGTTAAATAATAACTATTAAACCAAAATATACCTCTGTTTATACTTTGTCTGGTTTCATTCACTAATGACTGAAGTAGCCTAACTCTTTCTTTACAAGTATTTATATCACATATCTAGAAATACCAAAGAAATACAGATATAATAATAATATTTAAAAACTTATGTTTTTCTAATAATTATTGATTTTAAAGCACTTTGTCATAAAATACCAATTTATCCCGTTGTTTGTGTTTGTCAAGAGCTTTCACACATTTTTCTTCCAACTGAGCTCTAGCAGCTTTCAACCGTAAAAGTCGCAATTGTTTATCTGCAAATCTGTTCAGACATCAAACAAAATACAATACTGTTCTTTCAAATGAAGCATTTGAACGCAAACTGATTATTAAATTCTTATTATTTATATACGATTTACATGCTTAAAAACTGAAACATTGGATCATCACAACAAATCGTTTTCGTTAATTTTTGATGACAGTAGAAATCAACTTGCATTCAGTATTATTAAAAAAGCTTAAAGAACACTTGGTACGAAATAAAACTGTAATATACAAAAATAAACGGACATTAAGCACGTAAATTGTGAGTATATATTTACCGTTCGGTATAAACAGTAGTTGAATAAATAAAATCACCATTTTGAATACACTGTCGACAGTAAACAATTCGACTGCTATTATGGCACAATGGACACTTTAATAAATTTACGCTTAAACGATTCGAAACGTCTTCCAGCTCTGAGGAAAGCTGAAAATCTGCAGGTGCAGTACAGGATCCATCAGAGCTACTTGTCGCCATAACCAAGAACAAGAACAATAGACTTTCGTTTGTCTGTAGTCACTCATCAGCTGATCTGATATTTACTTGTAATCTCCCGCCACTTCGTACATGATATTGTTTTTATCGCGTATCTTTACTTTCATATTTATTCGTTACATATACACACAATCCAATCTCACACAAAATTTCCATATAATTCAACGAGTAATCGTTGAATTATGGAAAAAACAAACTTAAATCTCAACTTATGTAACTCATAGGTGCACCGTGACAGCAATCATCTTGGATAAATCCCGTTGTGCTATGAGATTAAAAGGGACAAAAAAAATAGATACACATAAATCTCTGAAAATGTTTGAAATCTAAGATAATAAAATATATAGATATTGATATGTCTAATATTTCAACCTTGTTTACTTTAAAATATACGAAAAATGTTAAAAAATGAATCATTTATATTTGATCTATTAATTTGTTCGTAAACATTTTATTTTCATTTTTAGTT